TCCCGCCCCGCGGGCGGATAGGGTGGAGCCAGCCCGGCTCTGGCGGCAGCCACGAGCCGCCCCGCCGCCTCACCTGGGCGCCGCCTCCACCGCTGGTACCGCGCTTCCGTCAGCTCACGTGGAAACCGCTTCCGCCCACAGAACACGTCATTTCCGCCCGCTCGCCGGCGTCACGCCCCTTCTATGTCCCCGTCTTGGAACGCCGCGGAGGAGAGCAAGGCGCGGGCCGTGGGGTGAGACCCCTTGCGTGCTCCAGCTGGTCGGGGGCAGGTTGCAGCCCACGTGTAGGCCGCTGACGTGCTGGTGCTTGACCCAAGCACAACGGATCTTTGCAAACCTTGACCCCAAGGCCACTGAACCTGCAGCTCCTCCCCTGGAAAGGACAGTTGTCTGACTGCCCCGGGAGGGACTGACTGTCTTGCTCCCTGGGCTGGATTGGCTGGGGGCAAGTGGCAAGACTAGGATAAAATCCTTCCAGACCCACTCCTGGAGGCGATCTGCTGCCTTGGCGCCTTGTCTACTTGACTACTAGGGAGCTCACCTAAGCTGCTGCTTTGGGTGCTGGAGCATGAATTCAGGGAGAGAGGGAGCTCATCCCAGATGTGTGAGCATTGGTGGTTTAGTGGTAGAATTCCTGTGTTGCCATGCAGGAGACCTGGGTTCAGTTCGCAGATACTCTAGGTGATTTGTTGGTGTACCTTTACAGCTTAAGGTAGTCATTAATAAAGATGCTCACTTCAAAATCTCTTGTTTCTTGACTTCAAAAAAAATCAGGTTTTTAAATGGAAACATGACAGAATGGGTCAGTGTATTTTTCCCCCTCTATTCAGCGTCGGTGAGCCCACAGCTGGAGTATTGTGTTCAGCATTGGTGAGACCACAGCTGGAGTACTGTGTCCATTTCTAGGCACCACACTGAAGGATGTGGATAAACTCAAAAGGGTGCAGAGACGAGCCACCCCTATAAGGAGAGACTCCAGGAACTGGATTTGTTCAGTCTGAGCAAGAGAAGACTGAGCGGTGACTTGATAGCTGCCTACAAGTATGTCAAGGGTGAACACACCAAGATCTAGAGGAGCAACTTTTCAGAAAGGCACCTTCAGAGAGGACAAAGACCAATGGGCATAAGGAAAGGAAAGATTTAAGTTGGACATTAGGAAAAACTTTTTTCCATAAGGGTTTCTAGAATCTGGAACACACTTCCAACAGGGGTGGTGAAGTCACCATTCTTGGAGGTGTACAAGAGGAGGCTGAATAAGCACCTTGTTGAACTCATTTGAGCCCAATAACCTCCTGGGCTGGATGATCTTACATGTCCCTTCCAGTCCTTTGACTCTCTGATTCTATGAGAATGATGTTGGGTGCATCAAAACGATGAAGCCCCAGGAGCTGGCAAAAGAGCCAAGAGGAAGTTCCCACTTCTATATAGAAAATCATAGGGGTGGGGGTTACAAGCCAGTGGTCCAAAGGGAGGGAACAGGTAAAAGATAAAAGAACATCAACAATGGTGGTAACATACACTTAGTACCTTAATTTCTCCCCCAGGGCCAGGCACAGGGATGGGCGAACTGGGCAGCCTCCTGGGGCCCAGACAGAAAGGGGGCCTGAAAACAGTAATTTTAATTATTATCATTATCTCTGGCGAAGGGCTGCCCTGGGCCACCAAGAGTCTAGGTACGGTGCTGTTCTCCCCCTGCCCCCACACACTTCCCAAGGTGCCCCCAAACAAGCCTTTAGTCCCAGAGTGCTCAAACAGCAGCCTGCAGCTGCCCCCAAGTCTGAGTCCAGCTCCTTCCGTCCCCACAGTCCTTGCTGCTGAAGTCGATGGGATCTCCAGGTTCACTGTGTACTCCTTGTGTAGGGCTGACCAGGATCCATGTGCAGGCTGCTCTTTCTTTTCCTTACTCTAGCCTCATGCTTACTCTCCAAGGCTTGCTTCCTTTTCCTTTTACCGCAGCCGCCCCCCCGGGGTTTCTGGGAGTCTTAGTCCAAATATGCAGTTATCACAGCTCTACAGACTGCCCCGGTTCCACCTGCTGCTACACATATTACTCATTGCACCATTGAGCGCTCTCAGGCCTTGGAATATGCCAATTCTCCCATACAGTCAGTCTCTTCAGGCAGAGATTGGAGGCACAAGCTTAGTTTCTGGCTGAATTTATAAAATTAGTTTTAAAATTATGCAAATTTACAATCTGTTGTTTTCCCTTTTGTTGTCAGGGGATGCTGGCATGCATCAAGCTGCAAATACCGAAGGAGAAAGAGTGCCTATAAAAATATAACTGGAACGGGCTATTCATATAGGTCCCAAAATTAGCAATGAAAAAATGATGGAGCAGCTGTTGCTACCTGCAAAATGCATAGCTATAATCACTATCATTAGTACTGATGCCTATAAGCCTTTCAGCTTTTTCGCTTAGTAGGTCTATTATGTGGGTGTGATTATAGGTCTAAATTAAAGGGCTTCTATCAGGGATGCCCAGGGTGTGTCCTAAAGTGTGAATGCAAATAATGGCACCTCACTATGCTCCTCACAATCACCTTCTCCCTCCAAGGTGTAGTCCAGGTCACTTGTGGGTTATTATTCTTTTCATTTCTCAAGAAGGGTAATATTCCAAGAAAACACTGGTAGAAAGATTTTATTTTTACTTCAAACATATAAATCTATACATAAAAAAAATCAAGCTTCTCTCAGGAAGCCAGGCTGGCTGATCCTCCAGGTCACAAATATAGGCTACTTCCTCACCTAGAACCCAAGTCAGGATGAACAGATTTTGAATGGAATTCAGCTCTACACCAAAATTCTGGGCAGACCTTCCTTACTCCTCCTTTTGAGCCGTCTTTTGAGTCTTCCAAGGGGCCATGCTACCTCTAAGAATGGCAAAGCCAAAGACTGGTCCATTATTGTTCTTTGGGGGGTTTAGTTTATTTTTAAAGTGTGGAAACCATAGAAAATAGCCCACTGAGGCTTACCAGTTAGAAAAAGAGGAAACATAATTTTGATTCTTACCTGATGTTCTGAGACCTTAACCCTCTTCGTCCTAACACATGCATTTTCTGGTCTTACATCTGATTCTGATGTAAGACCATCATGGCTGCTGACCTTTGCATTTTGATTAAATAGCTCCTACCTACTTGTGTAAATTCGTAGAAAAGGTAGGAACTTCAAACCACTTGGAGCTTCTCTGATGCTTCACCGTCAGAGTGCAGCTTTTCTGCAGGTATAGCTGTACTTAGCATATGAAAATAAATGAAAGGTGAGCCTTATTCAAGAAGAGCAGCATGCTTCTGAGAACTGACTGGAGAAGTCAAGCCCTTACCGTTGCTTTGTAAATTCCTAGATTCTGCTATTTTGGAGCTAAGGAAATGGTGGGGAGAGGAGGGAGGGGATGGGAAGGGGAGCATTTCTTTTTTTGGTGCACAGATTTTTTTTAAATAATTATTTAAGTTGCTTGGAACTAAACCTGTAGGGCCTGTTTAAAAATGTTGTAGCCAAGGCACAGTCTCATATTGACTTCAACAGGCTTCAGATTATGCCTCTACTTCAATTGAAATAAGGAAGCAGAATCATAACTAGTGAAAAATCTGCAGAGAACAAAAGGGATGGTATGAAGTATAAAGGTACTACCTCTGGAAATCGAGTTCCATAGTCTACGATGATTAATATATATTGGTATCTGGCACTGTACTTCAGGAATGGCCCAGCAATGTCTAATGCAATCTGGTCAAATGGCCCTTCTATTACAGGTTTCAGGATTAAAGGGGCTGGTTTAGGTTGAATCATGGAGGCCTTCTGACAGAGTGAACATGGTAAGTTAACAGTAATAAATAATTTTCATCTCTTGATTTCTCTTCCTCCTTTTGCACATATTCTGAGAATGACACCAAGTGACAGGTACTAAAGGCATAAAATAGGGAAGTTGCTATAATACTTTCTGTCAGGTACAAAAATATACTCAGTATTTAATTATTAATTACTCCTAGATAAAAGGATTTCCTAGCAAAGCTGCCAGAGTTGTGTGTCTGGTTCATCCACTCATTAATTTTTATGACTGGTTTTAATAATATACTCAAATATGCTATATTTAGTCCATAACCTATTAATAAATCATACCCATGCATCTTTATATTTATCCTGTAATTTATAAGTACCAACTTACCTGTGTGCATCTTTCAAGTAATTCTAGCTAAAAAAAGTGTCCCTGCAGGGTAGTTGCAATAGTCATCAGATGTAAAAAATATAAATATTCTTTACTTCAATTTAAAGAAAGTCATCATGTGAGATCTGAAAGACTCCTTCCTCCTTGTCATGATTCCTGATGACCTCCATTACTAGCTGTACCTCACAACAAGCCACCAGTTTAACACCTTTTTCTGGTGTTAAATTCTATTCATTTTCACAATCCAGAGATGGACATGACAGTATTTCCCTAGGGCCACATGCTTTCCCACTATTTTGTGTCACAGGAGAGAGCAAAATGTCAGAGACTGCACAGTTATGGGCTCAGGGAATTTGCAAAGGGGAAAAGCAGCAGGTATGCTACATGTCCACTCATAGTCTTTCTGTCATAGATGTGTCACTTGGTCAAAAAGGTGAAAAGGGCTGCCTGAAAGGAAGATGATTGGGGAAACAGCTACTCCCACGACTGTGTTCTCCTGCAAAAGAGGTGGAATTTTATGTCACAACATACATCAATAAATTGCCCTCTACACTATGCCCATGATCCTGTGATGTGAGTGCTGAAGTTGTCAGGAACAGCAGAAGTCAAGATCTCACACAACTGGTCAGCACTTTGCTATTTATCAGTGATCTGGATGACAACACTCAACAATGGGTCCAGAGGCATCAGCCACAATCATCTGAAAAGGCCCTAAAGATTGCTGAGGCCTTTACTGAAGCAGAAAGCACGATGGGTAAGCAGAAGTGATCAAAAATGTGGTCTCCTATAGGCCACGGAGTCAGAGAGGGGGCAGCAGGATCCTGCAAAGTCCAACCTGGAGGGCTGCAGAGAGATGACCAATGTTACACCTGTGGGGAACTGGGGCATAGGGCCCAAGCAGGTCCTTGAGTCCAAGGTGACTATATATGAGAAAGACCGTTGTAGTAAGAGAAGAAGTAACTAAATCAGAGCCTATGGATTGTAGCTTTGGTTCTGTGGCTGGGTGACACCTATCTTGCCTGACAGTTCTGGTGATTATCAAAGATTGGGTGTACCAGGTCATAATAGACATTGGTTGCGCACAGACTCTGGTCAGAGCCACCCTGATCACTGCAGGGCAAGTATCACCAGGCTCCCTGACACAGATGATATGCATACATGGGGACAACCAAGTATACCAGTGAAGAAAACTACAATTGATGGTGCTGGGCAAAACCCATGAACTCCCAGTTGGACTAACACATCGTCTGCCATCCCCGTGATACTCAGGAAGGATTGGCCTGAACTTAAGATCATCTTAAAAAAGATGACAATGGCAGGCAGTATGGCATCCATCAAGCAAGAGCAGTCCAAAGTCACAGGGGGAATGGCAGAACAAGGAGATGAGAAACCCCACAAAAATAGTGACAATGGAGTGAGACCAAACAGAGGAAAAAGCATTTCAGAACATCTATGAAGGCAGTGTAGCCCTCTGGAATGAGGAAATTTTGTGGCCTGAAATGATGACCCACCAACCCCAGTTCGAGGTAAGGGCAGATCTCTTATGCCAGGTTGACAGAGGGGTGGA